TCATTCATTCAACCTTTATTTATACAGGTTAGTCTCAATGAGTCATGAGGACTCATTTTTAAGAGACCTGTTTTAGACAGACAATCAAATGCAATACAGGACAGACATGTTCTAAGCTGCGCAGCGCGCTGTTTAAACCAACAGTTTTGGAGGGGGGTGGGGGGACATAGAGACAGTTGTGCTCTTTTTGCACCAACAGTTTTGTTGTTTGTTTGTTTTTTGTGTGTGTGGGGGGGGGGGGGGGGGGGGGGGCACATCTGAGCTGTGCGCTGTTCGTACCGACAGTTTTCGAGTGGTGGGGGTGCGTTCATTGTTGCAAGCTGCTAGTTTAGTGTTATGTCAGTGCAGGTGGTTTGGGTTGGGGGTGCGGTTCAGTAGACGGGGCGGGGCGCCCCTCTTGTATAATGGTAGGGGAAACACTGTAGTTACAACCAGTTATGAATCTTGGCACGCCATGGTAGACAGCATCCATCCATGTAAATAATGTCACCATAATCAATAGCCGCTAAAGTTGCAGCCACAAGGCGTTTCCTGGCATTCAGACTTAAACATTATCTATTTCCGAAAAGGAAACCTAGTTTTAATTTCAGCTTCTTTATCAAGTTTTCAACATGTGTCTTAAAAGAGAGATGTGCATCAACTAAAATTCCCAAGTATTTATAAGACTTTACAAACTCAGTAGGAACACCATCCGTGGATAAAATAGGAAGAACTGCTGGCACCAACTTCCTGTTTAAAAACAACATCCCTTTTGGTTTTGTTAGTATTTTGCACCAATTTAAGATGAAACAAATTGACTGGATGATGATCCAATGCAGACTGTAGAAGCTGGGAAACCTTGGAGACTGTTATCTCGACAAACGATTGAATCGTCGGCATAGAGATGAGGAGGCGTCAGGAATGTTCTGCCCTACAATATTTATATAAATTGTAAAGAGTGTGCCCTAAAACTGAGCCTTGTGGCACACCGTTATTGACAATTAAAGAAAAGTACCACTGTGTTGAACACGTTACCTTTGACCTGAGTCATATATAAAGTCTTGAAATTAAAACACCAGGTTGATGTCATCTTGCCTTCACTTGTGCTGGTTCTGTGACGATGAATGATCTTTTGAAGATGCAGCAGGTAACGCACCTCGTCTCTCCTCAGGGGTGACCGTAGAGACGACAGAAGAGATCGGCCGTACTAAACATCAAGCCAAGACGAACCATTCCAGCCCTTGAGTTTGTTGTGGGGGGGAGGGGTTATCTTTAAACAACAAAAGGGGAAGAGGGACGTTTGAAACAACATGACTTGTCTGTTTTTGTAGTTTGTTCATCTTAAGTATTACTGTTCTCTGTAAGTGTGGGATTCTTTGAGCTAATGTGAAGGGGCTGATTGGCACTGTTGACATGTCAGACTTTAGTTTTTCCTCCTCCTTTCTATGTACATTTTATTTTTCTGAGACTAGACGCAGATGGTTTGAGGTAGACATTGAACCATTGTTTTGTATAAATGGAATAAAACATTTTACTTACGTTCCTTTGGGTTTTTTTGTTTTGTTTTTGTTGAAAATTCTATTAAAACTTTTTTTCTTTTGTCATTTGTGTGAAACCACAATGTTTTTACCACAAAGAAAAGGAACTTTACGATCTCCTTAAAGCGGTCTGAATGTACAGTAGTGAAAAGCGGCTGGTATTTTGCCTTGAAGCAGCAGAACAGGCTCTGACAGAGGGGCGGTACTGGTCTTCCTCCTCCTCCTCCTCCTCCTTCAATGTTCCGGGCCTCTGGATATGTTCAGCCAGTCCTGACAGGGATGGAGTCAGCTGTGTTCTCTCTGCTGCTGACAGCGTCCATATCCAACCATGAGATGAGAGTCTGGATCCTGGCTGTGACTGCACTGCTCACCACTCACACCGGCAAGGGATCCTCGTTGCCCGTGGACCCAGAGGTACTGTCAGAACTGAACTAGGCAAAATCAAATGGCAGCACAGAGATGTTTATACTTTGTCATTTTGACGAGAGACTAATTCAAAACCTGAACGTGATTCAGTTT